GCCAGGCCCCCGAAAGCCTCCTCTTGGAATCCGGCTGCGGCGGCCCCGGGCGAGGCACTTCCCCTTTCTGGTTTATTGAGCAGCAGCGTGACCTGGGTCGTCGGGGGGATATCCTGGCTCCCCACCACTTCCTCAGGCGAGTGACTTAAGGGCTTGTTGCCTCAGTTTCTCATCTGTAAACAGAAACAACAGTAGTGCCCGCCTTGCAGGGATATTGCAAGGATGAAACCCTGTAAACCACATTGAACACTTGGAACCCTGTTAGGCAGATGATAATGTTAGCTGTTGCTATTTTTGTGATCCTGCTGATCGCAGATGGCCTGGTTCATGTGCCAGACTGATTGTCCCATGGCCGGGGTGCTGGGATGGGTGGGGTAGGGTTGAGGATTGGCTCTGGGGTAGAGTTTGGGAGACAAGTCCTCAAGTCAGGAAGGAAATTCAAGCCATGGTGAATCATCTGACAAATATTTATTGAGTACCTACTATGTGCTGGGCACTTTCCAGTTGCTGGGAAACAGCAGCGAACAAAGCAGGCAAAGGCCTGCCCTCATGGAGCTCCATTTCTGTGGGCTGGGTGTGAGGGGGTAAAGCCACAGTGATTTTTGCCCACATGCTGGCCTGGCACTAGGCCGGCTGAAGGGTGGTTACAGGAGCCAGTCAGTCCCAGGCTCACGTCTGTGTTCACCTGAAGCTTTGGTGGGTGGTTCCTGACAGGGATACAGCTTCTTGCCTCCAACGCAAGCATCTTTCTGGCATCACAGGAACTAGCTTCACCTGTGATAAGTAACCTGAACTTGACCCTGGCTGCAGCCTCAAGCAGCGATGAACAATTCTAGGGCACGTTCCACATGGTCTCCTTAGACCTCCCGAGCCGGTTTAGGTCCAAGTTGCACAGAGCAGAGCTTGCTCAGCAGCCCCTTCAGTGGCTTTTCCTTTCCTCCCTCAGTCTCCAGCTCTCGCTGGTGGTTCCGAGAACCCCTCCCAGGTCAACGCCCTGCACACAAGTCCTTGCCTCAGGCTGCTTTTGAGGAAGGAAAAAAACCTAGGGCAGTTGGTACCAGAAATGGCAGATGGGCTTCTGAAAATGGACTCTCACCAGTGAGATCACCACGGGGACCTGACCGCCAGGGTAAGTAGGGTGGTGACCTCCTGGGCAGGCTGTGGCGTCACAGGGACCACACTCAGCTGTGTGAGCTGGATTGGGTGAGGTGCCGGTGGAAGTCCAGGGCTGTAGGTCGAACCCTTGAAAGATCTGCATGATTATGGGGATTGTGGAGCCAGCTGGCTTTTGTGAGCTGCCCTGGGGAAGCCTTGAAGAAAGGGAAGGACAGGCTTGACCCGGGGCAGGTAGGGGGGACTAGAGACACCACGAGAGCATCCTACACCCTCAGCCCTGTGGCCCTTGGCCGGCTGTGAGGTAAGCAGCCTCGGGGTTTGATTTTAAAGGTGGTGAAGCTACAAGAGAGGCTGAAGGCACAGCCCCAGCCGAGGGAGAGGGTGGGCGATGAGGCCTGGAATGGAGACGTTTGGGTGGATGCCCTTGAGAACCTTGTACCCTCAGCTTGCCCTGAGCCCTCAGCCTGCAGAGGCGCCCCCTCCTGGAGGATCCTCTCCCCCCACCTGAAGTCCACACAGAGTCACCCGGATGCCTCACAAGGCGACACTTAGCTTGAGACCCAGCCCACCTCCCCTTGCTGCCTATAGACCAGAGTCAGCAAACGTTTCCTTCAAGGACAGAGTAAATATTTTAGGTTTTTGGGTCACGTGGCAATGACTCAGGTCTGCCTTTGTACTTAAAATTATAGTGCAAAAACTGCCATGGACAGTAGGTAAGCAAAGGGGCGTGTCTGCATTCCAGGAAAACTTGACACAAAACAGGCCGCTGGCTTCTGAACTCCTGCTTGCAGGCCCCTTCTCCAGGCCAATAATTAGGGCCGGGTCTCAGCATTGCCCAGCAGGAAAGTACAGTCCCTGCTGCTGGAGGAAATAACGTACCAAAAAGCTACGTCTGGCTGGTGTGTATTGGTAAGAAGAGGGAAACAGACACAGGAGGAGATCTCGGGGGGTGGGGTTGGGCTGGGGAGAGGGGGAGTACAGGGCTAGTTGAAGAGTTTTTATGGAGGCCCCTCTCTCATGACTCAGGATTGAACAGCCTGGCAAGGCCCCCTAATGCCTGCTGAATTGGCCCTTAAAGCTTAGGCACAGTGACAGCCGACAGCCAATGAGAGGCGACGCTGACCCTGCCTTGGGAGATGCTAGGGAGGCTCAGAGGGTAACAAGGTAGAAGGGACTCCTGCGTGAGAACCCGCAGGCTTACTGTCTTCTCCACTTACCGCCCAGAAGACCTGCCCTCCCCAAGCAGCGACGGCTGCACTAGGGAGAGGAGCTCAGTGCTGGCTGAGGAGATGCTGTCAGTGAGGACACCAAGGTCCTGGAGGAGCAGAGGCCACATGGGCCGCTAAATCATCAGAGGCAAGGTGGGCAGAAGACCTGAATGGTAGCCACAGGTCCCTGATCTGCGGGGCCCTGTGGCAGTGGTGTCCCTAGGGCAAGAGAGATGAGCATTTAATGAGGATATTGCTTGACTTAACCACAACCGATCAAGGGGCGGAGGGTGGGGGCGGGGGTGAGCAGAGGCTGATGCCAGCTGCTACGAGAGAAAGTGGCAGCCTTTCACCCAGTTTCCAGGACTCAGACCCAGGCCCACTGATTAAAGAGAAAGACCCACCATGCCACTGTGTCTAAAATAAGTATCTCCTCAGTTCTTCCCCCCAAGGTGCCCTCTGGCTATTTACCAGAATAGCTGTACCTGTGGAAAGGGAATGACCGGGTGTTTTGAAGTCTATGGGATAGAGTCTGAGCTTACACTGGTTCCAGGTGACCCAACACCACTTACCCTCCTTTTAGAGAAGGGGACATATGAAGTGCTGCCAGGTTCATCTCAGAGTCCAACAGGTCTGCGGACCCACTCTGTGGTTATTTCCTAGCTCCTAAGTGCAAATTGGAATGGATAGAATTAGCAGCTGGCAGAACCCTCACACTGCTTCCCTAATCTATAAAATAAGAGCCACTATGGAAAGAACCAAGTAGGAGTCTCTAAAATTGTTCCACTAGTCCAGATAGTACACCAGAAGCAAAACCACACATCCCAGGTGGAGTTGCAGAGATCAGTCCTACCCCAAGGGGCGCAGGGTGGCCCCAGCATATCCCCACACAACCTACCCTGTACTGCTCCTGTAACAACCAAATGAAGCCTGGTGATTGATGGTCACCCATGAGGTAGCTCTCATTGCAGCCAGTATGTCACATATGGTATCTTTACCAGAACAGTCTACACAGCCTCTGAGTGTACGAAGCTGATAATATGGCCAATGCACTCTTTCCAATCCACATCCTGAAGGACATATCGTGTCAGTTATGTTTTAAGTGGTCAGTGAACTGGGGCATGCTGGGATGTTCCTCCTACGGGAAAGGACAAGTTACATTGGGGACATCCTACCACTAAAAAGAGACATAGCACGGGGTGGGCCAATCTGGATTTTGAAGGCCATGAGCTAATGCTCCAGCCCACTTACTGGGTGACTTGAGAAACTTCCATGTTTGAGTGGAGTCCAGAGCAAAAAAGGACTCTGGATGGGTCCATGTTATGGGACAAGCACTTGGGAAGTATGACCAGCATATCCCATAGTGCTAGAAATATCCATGGGAGATTAGTAAA